CCCCAAAACCCCAAAACCCCAAAACCCCAAAACCCCAAGAATGTTTATAATAATTGAGATTTGTACACATCATGAAGGGTTTATTATTGGTCCTCCTGTGTTTGCTCCACCAGGGGCTTATGTATGATCACCCAGATGAAGTAGTATGGCAAAATAGGAACGCAGATATTCCATACATTGCCAACCCTGATGGGACACCTTATGTTATCTCTCATAGAGGAGCTTGAGGGCAGATGCCTGATCATTCCTCAGCAGCATACGCTACTGCGTATTATGATGGCACTCATTTTGATGAGCCTGATCTACAAGTGACTAAGGACGGTGTCTTATTCATTATGCATAATACCTGCATGAAGGAGACTACGAATATTGAGAAGCTCCATCAGTTTGATGATAGGAGAACTGACGTCAAGTTTTCCACAAATGAAACTGAGCTCCATTGCGAGGATGACTATCTGGTCAATGACTTTACCTGGCAAGAACTTATTGATGCTGGACTTAAGGTGAGAAATAGGTTCAAGACCAGAAGTCATTACTATGATGATCTCTATCCTCCTATGAGACTAGAGGATGCCATTGAGCTCATGCTAGATCTTAATGAGAAGGCGCCAGTCAAGGATCGTAAATTTAAGACTGGGCTATATATCGAGACTAAAGCTGTTAGATTCTATAAAGATGAAAGAAATGTAGACATTGCTCAAATTTTATATGACACTTTGGAGAAATATGATCTCCATACTGTTGAGAAAGCTACTGAGAAGCTTCCTATTTTCATTGAGTCTTTTGAACAGGATTCTTTGCTGTATTTCAAGTCGAAGACTGACCTCCCTACTGTTCAGTTAATGACAGATAGTTTCGAATATGATCTCGATTGGATCTCTAGTTACTCGAATGGAGTTGGCCCTAAGCATACCTTTATGTTTAACTATGATGGCGAAGAGTTTAATTTAGACAAGCCTTCAAGATTCATTCAGCAATGCCATGCACTTGATATGAGAGTTCACCCATGGGTCTTCCAAGATGATATCTTAGTCTATTCCGAAGATGCTATTGACGAGGCAAAGATTTGGGAGACTAAAGGAGTCGATGGGTATTTTACTGAGTTCCCTCATTCTACTCTTAACACCCTCCGTTATAGTGAGGCTAATAGGAGAAAGAGGTTACAATCTGAGTAGGGTTTTACTATAACCTATTTCTTCAATTCCAGATAATATAAAAGGGGTTTTGGGGTTTTGGGGTTTTGGGGTTTTGGGG